AAAGAGGGAAGGAAGAAATCAGCTTGTTTAGATTTACTGGAAGTATTTTATTATGAGCAATCAGTTGCTCATACTTTACTCAGATAAAGGCAAAGGGTGCTCTCCCAACAGACTATGTTAACTACAAACATATAAACATACTGTATAATTTTCTACCAGGTGCAACAACATGAATGTGCAGAATTTCATGTGCATATTAACTAAGATCAAAAGCGACCTAAAACTGCCTGAGGCATGAGGACTTTTGCACATCAGGTTACCCACACACTTATAAATAGACGTGGCTAAATTACTGGTACACTTTGGGAGGTTTCTGTGAGAACTTGAAGGCAGAGGCAGAAAATGCATTTGCCTTGATGCTGATGAGACAAATGCTGTCCAAGTGGTCATCAGACCGATCCAATCAGTTTTAGGCTCAAAAGCAGAGCCTGTCTGATGACAGCAGGGAAAATGTTGCCAGTTGTATTTGAGGAGAAAGTTAAAGGCAGTGCTTGGCAAAGGAAGGGTTTATTGGGTCTGATATGATTTATAGAGCCATATGCACTTTCTTTTATAGATATAAAAGCCTGGGGGAGAAGAAATGATTATAGCAAAATTGTATTTTTAATGCTATAATGTAAGTAGTATAGTATTAGACAAATCACCATTTTAATCTTAAACTATCCTATAAAACGTAGCATAGTAAAACCATAATGGTTTGCCTGGGATGGACTTGTAATCCTGAACATCCATCCTACCCTTTCTGCTGCTGGAAAAAGGCAGCCTGTGGCTTTGCTAGGCAGGGGCACCTCTTGCTGTGACACTCTGGGGGTCCCAGCCCTTGCTACTTTGCTCTTTGACTTTCCATCTCCCTGCCAAGGGCAAGGCCAGAGTGAGAAGTAAGTGAGGTCCAGACACCAAGAAGGGTCAAGCCAGCAGTGATGGGTTTCTCCCAGCCAAGTCTCAACTCCTGTCCCAAAAAGCAGGCTAGATTTGCACTAGCATGCTCATCTGGCTGACCCAGGCTGGCATGGGGCTGGAGGGGCTGAGTGTGTGTTTAGGGTATGCATTTTGTTCCCTGCAGCAGGGTGGCACAGGAGCTGGCTCCTGTCCTGTGCCCCAACCTGCTGCTGCCTCTGTGGTATTTGCCTGGGCAGGGTTTTTAGGACCTGCTGCCAGGTACAAAGCAGCTTCTGCACATGCAGCTGGTTGCAGGTGCAACCTTTCAGTTCCAGCTGGAGGGGCTGGGGCTGTGCAGCTTCTTCCAGCCCTGCCCAAAATAGCAGAAGCCTTCTGCAGGGAGCAACTGCCTCTGGCTGGCAGGTGGCCACTGCATGCTGCATGGGGTGTGCAGAAAAAGGTGCTAGGTGAGTGAAAGCAGGAGTTCCCACACTGACTCTCCTCCGAGGGACAGTGGGAACAGGGAGTGAGTGTGCAGAGGGTCCGACTGAGGTCTGGGAGTGCAGAGCCACAAACATGTGGGAACACAATGCTTCTGCTTCAGGGAAGACAGAGAGGCTTCCTAAACTGGAAACTTTTTTTTTCCTCTCCCACCAGCCCGTGGTTGGCTTCCCACAAGCCACGCAGCACACAAATCAGTGATAGCATGCAGTTCTCCTTTGAGAGCTTTGGAAAGGGGAACTTAAAAATGTTCTCCTGAGCAGTCACTCAGCTTCAGGCTTTTCTTTGCAGGGGTAAAACTAGTTCTCCCACTTGATTTCTTAAAAAACTGGGATTTTTTTTTGTCAAGTGGGAGGTTAAATAGGGGAAATTTCAGTGGCACTTATGCTCTTTGATCCACCCTCATGTACCTTTTCACATGTTCGAAAAGGTAGATGGCACTTGGTGCTTCTCTGTGTTAATCCACATTAGAACATGCTTCATTAATTCTCTATCATTTCTGGGAGCTGTGACATGCATTCACAGTAAGAAGATGTGGGTTTTGTTCCCAGAACGGCTGGTGACTCATCTTGTACTCTAATGTTCTTTACTTCCCTTATCTTTGCCCAGCTTTATCAATCTGTAAATGAGAATCCCAAGCCTGCCTACCAACTGTACTGAGAGCAGAGCACAGCAAAAGCTTTCCTAAAACATTAGATTTTCAAAACACTTCAAAACTGAGTTGACCAAAAGTATTCACAGTCTTGTGCCAATGCTGGTGATGGCCAAAAGTAGTAGGAAGGAAATAAACTGGCATCTTAATTTGATGGAGTTTTATACGGCACTTCTTTTTTTATTTTTTAAAGACTTAATTTTTTTAACAGTAAAACTCTAAATGTAATCAAAATTATTTTTTCTGGAACAAAATACTTCATCCAAAAAAAAATTTTATTTTCTGCAGTGTTTAATTCTGGATTGATCTAAAATCTGTATTCTGTGACTCACTTATTCACACAGATCTTGCTGAAAGTCTTAATTAAAACACATTTGGGCCCTTAGCTAAAAAGCTTCATACAAGAGTGAGGTTTTGTTACAGCATAACTTGATGATGAATCTTGAAAGTATCTAGCAAGTGTGCCAGGCCAGTGCAGTGCTGCCCAGAAATGATGCCAAATACAGACTTGCTGCAGCCCATGACAGGTTCCCAGGCCTGTGTGGCTCTCCCCCAAAAGCTCTGTGGAGGAACTTGCTCCATCCACCTACAAATTAATGCTCAGCCCTGATTTTCACATGTCCATGTGCTGCTTGCATGCAGGAGGTGGCACTTCCCTGCTATCTGCCTGACGTAAGCTCCCCTGAACACACACATTTGAGCCAAATCACAAGGCATATTTGTGCTTGACTTAAATAGAAAAGAAAGAAAGCAATAGAAACCCAGCCCATAGCCATCTCTTCCCTGTACGTGCCTGGCACACTGCACCCACTTAGCAGATTAGGCACTGGGAGGGGTCCTGATGCACAATAAATCACAGTGAGACAAAGCAATTATTCTCTGTTCTTTAGTCCTAGCTCCAAAACAGATCAATAAAAACCAAACCCAAAACCAAACAAGGCATTTATTTTCATGTCAGGTACCCTAATCATAGGAAAGCTTCAATTTCATATCATGCAAAACTCCCAAATGACCGAAATACTGGAACCCAGACAAGGGGTCAGGCTCCCCCACTTCTGGTCAGCCAAAGTCAGGGCAAATTTTTGGAAGGAGGCACATGGCTAGAGTTGAAAGCCAAAGCATGTCAAGCACCAGGGTTTGGGGAGCCTGGCTTTCCTCTCTCCCCAGAGCTGAGCTGAGCTGAGCTGCACAGGGTCTGTGTGGGAAGGAGAGTGAGGTGCTGCCTTCAGGAGGGACCATGGGGAGACTGATCAGTCTCTGCTCACAGGCAGTGGTTAGTGTCACCAAGTCAGTTATTAGCCTGAAATCAGAGGAAATTCCTCCACACAGTTTCTCTGTGCTGATTCCCCAACTGGAAGCTGAAAGGAAAGACCAGCTTCAGCTTTCAGATTTGTTAATGTCTTTTCATCTAACTCCAGCTAGCTAATCCTGCAGGGAACCTCTTGCCTCTCCTGTTTCACTTTTGAGCTACAGGCTTTAATTTATGGTGAGATTAAGTTAGGACATGCTTTCTTATGCTCTTGGGCAAGGAGGTTAGGGCAGGAGGTTTCAGAGGCAGCAAATGCAGGACGTTGGCCAAAGCAAAGGTCAGAGTTCAGGCACTTTCCATGAGCAGGTTACAGATACATTTACAGAACAGGCACTGTGCTCCTCAGCTCCAGCATGTGCGATGTGTGTGTGGGCAGGGCTGAGGGGGCTGCTGAAACAAAAAAAAATTACCTAATTACCCAGCCCATATGCTCCCCTCCTGTGCCTGTGTAGGGGGAGTAAATTAGTGCAAGATCTCCATAGCTACAGTGACATTGCACACCCAGGGCACACATACCCTGTCCCCACATCACACCCCAAGCTCTGCTGCTGTCGTGGAGGTCACTCATCCTGGCTGTTAAAATACAGTCAGTGATATCAGGGGAGGCATGTTGACCCCAGTACTGAGTGAAAACACCAACTCAAAACAAAAGGTCATTTTGCTATTCCCAAATACATTTATTGTCAGAAGGTTTTATTGTCAGGAGGGTCCCTAAAAGTGTCATGTACTCCTTTTCTGGGCCCCTTTCTCCAGGGTTAAGGAAATATAAAACCAGCAGGGATTCTCCATGAACCAAAACGCTGCAATCCTCTCCCTTTCCTCCCTTCCACTATGTGGCCCAAAAAATCCCATTTGAGTGTTTCACCTCTCACCCCATTGCACTGCTCATGGCAAGGGATGGTTTAAGTGAGAAGCAAAGAATGATATTTTGTCTAAAGCACATTTCCTCAGCTGATTCCTTCAGCCCACTCATCTCAAGCTGGTGCCTGGGGTCACTCAGCCTTTGCCAGGCGATGGCCAAAAGCCCCTGGTGCCAACATGCAGTGGAGAAGCTCAGTGTGGCTGTTGCTGTGCGGGTGTCCGTGTGGCTTGTTAACGCGCTCTCCGTGGGGCTCTCGTTTTGGTTTGGCAGGTTTGACACCTGGCTTTCTTCTCGTTTAAAGCTGCCCCCCAGCTACCTGCTCAGCTACTCGGGCAACTACACCGACGATGCCAAGAGCTGGCGGCTGGTTGACATCACCCGACTGACCTCCAAGTACCAGCACGACCGAGCCGACAAACGCATCTGCACAGCCCTGCTGAAGACGAGGACCTGCAGCCTGGAGCGCGCCCTGCGCCGCACGCGTCGCTTCCAGAAGTGGCTGCGGGCCAAGCGCCTCACGCCAGACCTGGTCCAGGTGTGTGCCCCACACCAGCTGGGGCAGCAGGGAGGAGAGGGAGCCTCAGGGGGTGCCATGAGGTTTGGGGGGTGAAAAAGGGTGTGAAGTGGCTGAAACGTGCCGGGTGGAGGGTGATTTGGGTGATGGCTGGCACTCTTCCTCCTGCCGGGTTGGTGGGGAAGGAGCAGCCCAGTGTGCCCTCAGCCAAACCCACCTATGGCAGGGGAGGAGCAAAATGAGACCGTGATGGGAAGAAGAGTGTCATTTCCCAGGGACAACACTCCCCAGCCACAGGTAACACCTGGCCTGGCCAGGACTAGGCTAGGCTTGGCCCCAGAGAGGAGGGCACGAGCTCCTGGCTCCTTGTGCAGGTCCATGGCAAACCATAGCACCCAGTGGCTTCGGGCACAGGGATAACACAGGGTCATGCATACAAACATGGTCACAGTTTCAGTGGGGATATTTCTGTCTTTTTATTTTTTTCCCCTAGTTTTCCATCATGTCTCAGTGTTTTGATGGAGGTTTTTTTGATCATAAAGTTGCACCTAGAAGGGCAGTCCATGCCTTGAAGTTGATTTTACTTTGAGCCATGGACCAGGGCAGCATGGACCCCTCTGCTCATGGCTGGCAGGGTGTAAGGCACAGGCAGAGCTGGAGCCTCGATTACTCATCCTCCTGCCATCCATAGCAAATGACCTCAGGCACAAAGAAGTGTGCTGCCCTTTCTGTCACAGTCCTGGGGTGTCACAGGCAAAGCCAGGACAGGCAAACTGGGGTGAGGGGGGTCACCGCCACCAGGTAGATGGGCAGCTATGGCACAGGGCATTCCCCTCACCCCATCCAAACAGTGGCAAAACATTGTGATAACCACTGGAAAAGGGGCAGGGTCCAGGGTAGAGATTGGATATACTCTAGACAAGACCATGAGAGGCAAGGAAGGATTACTCCAGTATGTCTCCCCCTTCCAAGAGGGAAGTGGGTGTGAAAAAGAGACTTCTTTTTTATTTTCCCTATAAAGGCAACTGCTTCCTCCTGCCTGCATGCTGCCACATCCTCTCAGCTTTGCTGAGTGCTAAAGCTGTGCTGCTTTAGGTTTTCTGCTTCTGTTACCCTATGGAGCAGCACACCTGAAGAAGGAGTGTGAGAGATCCCATGCTGAAGCAGCTGGGTAAGGCTAGTGCCTGATCTGCACTGAGAAGGACTCACAAAAATCACTGACAGTCCAGCACAGCATGTCACCCCAAAAGCCAGTACCCTCCTGAGTGGCACATACCTGGCAGGGAAATATTTTTTTGGAGCTAAGCTACACTGTACTTTGTTTAGTAACCTCAGAAGAGGCAGCAGGGAGAGGGGACATATTTGTATCACTTCCACTCAGAGCATCCCTCACCTGAGCTTGTGCACTCCAGGCAGGGACAATTCCTCCCTGGGGTGGCAGGCAGGAGTTCCCAGTCACCTGCTGTCCCCCCAGGCAGCACTGCAGGGGCCTGTGGGAGGGCAAGTTGAGGTGCCAGGTCCTCCAGCCTTGCTGTTGTGTCCAGGGGGTTTGTGCAAAACTGCAACATCCCCCCACACCCACCCCAGCAGCACTGTGTGAAAGGGAAGGAGTTGAAGGCTTAAAACTTCCATTTGCTGAGCTGGGTGAAAAAGTAACTGGAGAAATGTGGCTCTGTGGTATCTCAGATCTGCTGCAAAGTTAAATCATTAGCTGAGCCCAGATCCTTCTCCTTAAAAGGCTCTTCATGGGCTATACAGTTTTCCCTACCCCATCATCTCTGAGACTGAACTCCCAGCTGAGCTGACTGGGTTACACACACACGTTGCTCACACATATGTATACACACACATACATACACATGCACAAAGCACCACACAGAGACTCTGGCTGGGGCACCCTGACCTTGCACCTATCCAGTTTCTCCCAGGAGCTTGAATTTCTCTGTGCAGCAGCAGGGGAAGCTGAGCTGGAGCCAGCTCCAGGCTGCCTCTCAAGTGAGCTCAGGGCCAGCCTGGGGGGATGTGCCCAGGGACAAACTCCCTGGCACATTGCAGCAATCCCTACAGTATTTTAGTTGGAGAGGGCATGGGAGGCTGCAGGGAGGCCCAGACCTCTGCACATCAGCCTCTGGATTGTTCTGTCCATGTTTTCATGGTCCTATGGTTCTGTAAATCCATCAGAGAAATCTAAATTGGAATACAAATCCCTTCTAAGAGCATGTAGGTTCGAATACACAGAGAAGCACAGTGATCCAGAGAACCAATCACTTTTTAAGATAAGGCATGTGCTCACAGCACTCTAATTGAAAAACAGCCAGTGGCAACAACATTTCAGTCATACTGTGTGTGTGAGTTTGTAGGTGAGACCCCCAGCCCTGCCATGTGGGACACCACAGGTTACAGCATGACTTCCCCAAGCCATCTGGCCACACAGAGATGGGGATCTCCTTCCTCTCTGGCCACTCCACCTGCCCTGCTCCCAGCTGGAACCTGCAGCAGCACCTCTGCCTGCACCCCAGCCCGGTGTTGTCACTGCCCCTCCATAGAGTTACTGTTCTGATGGCTTTATTTCCCTTCCTTCCCTCTTTTCAGAGGTGTTATCAGCACACTGCTCCTGATGCCTGACATGATGCCCAACCTGTTTCACAAAGTTCCAGTTACCCAGTGGTGTCTGTACTCCTCTCCCTGCAGATTTTCATTTAGAGCAGCACTGAGTAAAGCTAATGGGCTCAGGTAATTTTGTCTTATAGACTGAGAATTGCAACAAACCATAACGTGCTTGAATCAAAATGACAGACCATGAAGTAATGTTTTTTCGCTTTACACTGCCTGCCCTGCCTGACCCAACCATCAGCTGAGCTGCCTGCCACAGTGATTATTTCAGCACCACAATGGAAGTCTTTTTTGGATGCAGCAAAGTCTTTAGTCTTAAATTCCAGCCTGCCTCAGAGCTGAGCAGGATTTAGCTGGGCTCAGCCTGCACAGCAGTCCCAGACACCCAGTGCTTTGCCCAGGAGCTCATCACCTCACACAACACTCCGTGCTTTTCCTGTTGGAGGGGAAGAGCAACAACAAAGCAGGTTAGTTTCAGCACAGATTGCCCACAGGGCAAATTCACAGCCCTGACTACAAAACAGAGCCCGGAAAATGCTGCTGGCAGACAGAGGAAAGCAGCACCAAGGTGAAAATCCAGCCATTTGCATCCTGTCTCTCTAGGATGGACTGTCTGAAGCTACTGACCAGCATCTCCACCTGCACTCAGCAGATGTGCCAGCACTCCACTTATGTGGCCTGTGAGTCCAGTAGACATCACTTTGCTGCACATGGGCAGCAGCTCACAGATCTGTCAGCTAGTCCACCCTAGGGAAGGATGGGCACTATGGGGCTCCCAGAGCCACCTCTCAGTCCTGCCTTCTCTTTGACCTGGTACCTCTTCATCACAGATACGTTTCAGTAAACCTGCTGAGAGTGGGGATGTGTCCTATAGTTTCTCAGGGCCCAAAACTGGATATCACAGACCAGGGCTGGCTGAAAAGGGAAGAGAGCAAGGAGAAGTCTTTCAGAGGTCATCTTACATCAGTGAATTCTGAGTACATCTGTGGTACACACACATGTGTATGCATACATGGGGTTTAAAATGCCTCACATACTGTGCAGGTGTGGGGGGGAAATCACAGCTGAGTGCAGTTAGGTTTGCAGGAACTACTTACTGTCAGATATAAAATTGTGGGTATTTAATCAAAGTAAATAAGAAGATTTCTATATCAGTCACAAACAATACGTCAGGCTCTCTGTCAGGTCTTATTCCCTGGGGTGATAAGATGCTGCTGATTGTATGAAGATTTGTAACTGGAACTGAGGAGAATTATTTTTGGAAAATGTTTTATTCTTTTTGGGAAACAAAGGGTTCTTCAGTTGCTGAGAAACAACACTTCAGTTGGGGCTGTGTTTCTCAAGTAGTTTTTTGATCAGCTTTGGCATTCAGGACTTGTTTTGTGCAACTGATGGCCAAGGAAGGAGAGGCTGGAACTTCACTGAGGGATGCAGAGGAGGACAAGTGGGACATCCAGTCCCTTCTTTCCACCTCCAACTGGGAGACTGTCATAATCCTCCTTTCCTTATTTCTTTATTTCTTTGTCATGGCTGGAGAGTTGTTTCATGCCAAATGAACAGCTCGCACAGGAAGGGCTGAGAGACCTACCTCAGAGTTACCAAATGACTTGGGGAGATGCTGAGTCAAATCTTTGCTCTCAGCATGAAGAATGGCAGGGAACAATGTGAGCTTCAGTGCCCTTTCCTCTGAAGCACATCTCCCAAACTTCATATTAAACCCAAAAAAGAGTAAATTTGGTTACTGGGATCATTTGCATAAAAATGCCTAGAAAAACCTGATTGCCTTCCCCAGCAGAGGTATAGCAGGGCAGTGCTTCTGTACCACTGTGGGCAGCCCTCAATACATCCTCTCTCCTTGGCTATTAAGGAAGACTATCTGAATTTTAAAAATAGGTAATTTTTTACTACAAAGGTGTAAATTCCCATGCCATTTATACCAGCCATCGATTGCTTGTGACAAACTTCCAAATCTGAACAGCAAAATACGATGATAATTGACTCCATTAGCCCAACAGTTCTTTATTTGCTGCTGGTATTTACAAAAAAATATGCACAGGCTATTCAAATTTGGTTTTGATAGTTAATGCATGAGTTTATCAGAGAGAGAATATATCCTGTGCTTGTACTCACACACAATGTTTATTTACACTTTTAAAGCATGTTTACTGACCTTAGCAAATAGTATTTTCAAGAAAGCTGCTCACAGGTTAAGCAAATAACGAAGCGATCTGAAGATTATTTAATGAGGGAAGTGACTCACTCTCTTAACAACAGGAGGGCCTCCACCAGTGAGCCAGGATGCCAGGGCTGGAAACCCAGGCAGAGGGAGGAGGTCTTGTGGCACAGAGACACACGGTGCAGCTGGAGGAATATGAGGTTTGCAGCATCTATGGCTGTGCCGTGATGATGCCATTCTGGAAACCTGAGTTGTGAACTTACATTTTTGGATGGTGTGGGTCTTTTCCTGGGAGGGTTTGCTGTGGAGATCCCTCCATGTGCCCATACAGACCTGTGCCTCAGTGGGCAGAGGTGCAGTGGGCAGAGCACAGAGGTGCCCATACTCCCAGCATGAGCCAAGGACACTGTGACATCTCAGGCTGGAAAATAGACATCTTTGCCATGTTTTTCCCACCCACCAGGGCCTGTCTAGCCCAATGCTGCGCTGCCCATCCCAGCGGCTCCTGGACAGGATCGTGCGGCGCTATGCTGAGGTGCCGGACGCTGGCAGCATCTACATGGACCACCTCACCGACCGGGACAAACTGCGCCTGCTCTACACCCTGTCAGTGAATTCACACCCCATCTTGTTACAGGTATGGACCACCTTCCCTCAGCTTGGAACACCACCCTCAACCCACTGCAAGAAAATCCTTCCATGAGATATGCACCAGTCCCCAGCTGCAGGAGTCCCAGCCCTGACCTTTGGCTTGGTCTTCATAAAGTGTAGGGGTTGGATGGCTGAAGCCAAACAGAGTCTTGAGGTGCTCCTGGCATCAGCCTGTGAAGCTGTGGAGAGATATGGATGCCCAGTCACCCAAATAAATAAATCAGAACCCGGACAGGTTATTGCAGTAGTGACGATGAAAGCCAAGGATTTGCACATCCCAAATACTTCACAGGGTTAACTTTGCATTGCTAATACATGACTTAAAATCACAGCCTGTTTATGAAAAAGAAAGAGCATGATTTAGTGTGGGAGGGCCAAGACGCAGCATGGATATTGAACATGAACTTGGGGAGCACTGATTTCTTATGCTCCATGTGCCAGTGCTGTGTTTTCCATTTGCATGCCACTGGTAACTACCTCCATGGCAAAGTGAAGCTTCAAAGAAATGTTTGGTGGAATCCCAAATACAACTGAAATCTGGGTCTGAAGGCAGTGAGTTGGGAGGCCTCATGACCCTCCCCAGTCCCCTGTTGGCATGTGTGGCATGTGGCTCCTCTCTTTCCATGTCTCCAAAGGAATATCCTCACTTTTCCCCACCCCACCCCACCCTTAGTCATCATTGCTGTTTCTTGTAACCCTTTATGATTCCATGAAGAGCTGCATCTCTGGCCCCAGATCACTGCCACCCTCAGCAGAGCACAGGGCTCTACCCTGTCCAGGGAGGGGGAATGGTGCTTGTGCTCTGGGAGGCAACTGGGGATCATTCAGTCACCCTGGCCATGGCTCAGTGGGACACGAGCTCTTAGAACTCTAAAGCTATGGGAATGCAGCTTAAAAAGGTGAGAAAAATATGCCAAAGAGAAATGGCTTGATGTCATGTGATTACCCAAAATGTCTTCACAGCAGAAGGGAGAAGCAACCTTAAACATGAAACTGGACGAGTTCAAAATGCCTTGGCAGGGTCTGGGGTGCTGGAGAGACAGATAAGTTATAGTGTAAGTGGCAGAAAGCTGTGTGTTGGCTTAGTTCAGCAGTCATATGGCTTAGTTTTCACCTGGGATAACTCTGCTGCCAGCCTGAGCTGCAGGGGTGTAGGGAGCACAGCCCAGGTGTCCTCATGTAGCAAACACCCAGCACTTCTGTCCCTGAGATTGCAAAGTCTCTTACAAAAGTTCCAGGCAGTTCTTAAAAATGAGCAAGAACTACTTTAGCCCCCACCTCACCTCTGAGCTGTGACATCAGCTATGCAGTGTTCGTGAGGGACTCATCAAAGACACCTAAAATTAGCTGTTCTGTGGCTAAAATTTTCATGAATTTGAAATCTATTATTATCCTGAACTTTCCAGCTAGTCTCCCTCATACAATAAGTCTTGAAATATCAGATTCTTCCTTCATTAAAAAAAAAAAAGGGAAAAAAAAAAAAAAAAAAGAAAGAAAAGCATCATAACTACTTCAGGACAGAGCAGTGCCTTTCCCAGCTGCTAGGGGAGGGTGGGGTGGGAAGGGGTTTTGTGCTGCTTTAGAAACCAAAACAACACTGGCACTGCTGCTTGAAGCTGGATAGGGCGCTTGAAACCACTCTGGGAGGGAGGGGAGTCCATGGGCAGAGTGGAGATTTAGGTTGGATATTAGGAAGAGATTTTTTCCAGAGAGAGTGCTCAGGCATTGGAATGTGCTGCCCAGGGAGGTGGTGGATTCACCATCCCTGGAGGTTTTCAAGCTGAGACTGGATGTGGCACTTAGTGCCATGGTCTAGTGACCACGGTGGGGTTGGACTCAATGATCTTGGAGGTCTCTTCCAACCAGGTTGATTCTATGATTCTGTGAAGACAGGGGTGATCCCCCCATTCCTGTTCTCCTCGGCAGATCTTCCCCGACGTGGAGGGATGGCCCTTCCCGCGGTACCTGGGCTCCTGCGGGCGGTTGGTGGTCAGTGCCAGCACCCAACCCCTGCGTGACTTCTTCAGCGCGGCCCCCGAGGTGGCCGCAGACCTGGCCCTCCAGCTCCTCGCTGTCCTCCGCTCCATGGGCACCAACGACCTCAACTATTTCTTCTACTTCACCCACGTGAACGCTGGCACCTTCGGCGTGTTTAGCAACGGGCATCTGTTCATCCGGGATGCCAGCACGCTGGGCATCATAGACAAGGAGGAAGGTACTCAGCAGGTTCCCTGGCCGCGCGTCTGTCGCGGGAGGGCTCGGCAAGGCAGGGCAAACAGAGCTTTCACCTGCTATGCTTGGCCCTACTGCTTGGTTTTTATGTTGTTTTTTTTTTTTAATCAACCGAACATTGCTTGATAAATTAAATACTGAGATGTTCACAGAGAGATTTACTGACTGCAGCTCCTCCCATCCTGGCTCAGAGTCAGGAAGGTATTCTGTTTGTGCAGTCAGTGCTTTGGTGACTGACCCCCTCTGTGGCTGACAGCAGCTTTGTGCGCACACTGCTGGACACTCATTTGAAAACTTCCTAAATCACCTCTTTTAACAATTTTTGCTACACAAATATCAATATTTGCAAGCTGAAATTTCATAACTTCATTCAAGCATTGTGTTAGATTTGACCCTCTATACACGTATTTATCACATTAAATAATAATGGTTATAATTATTATTATAACAACAAAATCCTCCTTTTGTCACTTTTATATAAAATCAAGAGTTACTAGTCACTTTTCACAGGTTGTGTTGATCTACTCCTGGAAGCAGAGCTGGGCAAAGGCTATTCTTCCAATAATTTAGCAGTTTCATTCTGAATGTTTGAATTTTCAACAGGCCTTTTCTCAGCTCACACATTCAGCTGAGCAGGTCTCAGATATTCAGAAGGAGCTGTCAGAATTTTCCACTGGGTTTCCTTTTCTTGTCCCAACAGCTATTAGTGTTAACTTGACTCCAGCTAGATGAGCTGTTGTTGCAATTTAATGATTTTAGGTAACATGGAAAAAATGACAAGTTTGGCTATTTGGGGTAGTTTTTGTAGAAACTCCACAGTTTACGCCTGTGCTCCACTTCTCATGTTTTTCTGCATCAGTTTGACTTGACAGACTCTCTAATTCCTCTGTCAGGTAGTTCTGCAGAGCTCTGTCATTCAGAAATATCTAAATATTTCAGGAGTGAGGAAACTGGCCCATACACAGCTACAGCACCGAGTACTTCGTGCTGAAAGGTGGCTGTAACCTTCAGATAGTAACAAACCCCATGCTCATACAGAGCTACAAACCTCTGTGATTATCCAAGAGTTCACTGCCATGTTTCTAACAACTGCTTTGACTGTCTCCAATAGGGCCTCAGCTGATCGATGGCCAGCAGGAGTACAAAGACATATTCAGCTGTTTGACTGTGGACTGCCAATCTGCATTTGTGTCCTGTAACTCCATCAGAGAGAAGCACAGCCTCATCATGGTGTGTCAAGAGCTTTTGCCCAAGCTCCTGAAGGGGAAATTCCTGCAACCTGTGCAGGAGAAGATAGACAGCTTCCTGCAGCACTGTGCCAGTGGCCTCACTGATGACCAGGGTGTCAACGAGGCCATAGCAAAGCTGGCAGAGATCCTGAAACCTCTGCAGTCTTGCGATTCCCGTTTCGCCTACCGCTACCCTGACTGCAAATACAGCGACAAGTACTGATGGAGGAGCTGTCCCTGGAAGGGCCTGGGACAGTGTCAGCCCCTGCCACTGTGGGAAGCAAGGAGGAACCAGGGTAACCAGAAAGAGCTGCACCAAATCTGGGGCTTTCTCATCAAGGCAGAGGAGGAGGGAGCAGAGTGCATACAGGATTTATTGTTCATCTCCCAGAGATGCATTTGTTATGTGGGATGTTAGATGTGATGTATGGCTTATGGATTATTAGCATTATCATGAGTGACAGGGGCTACAGGATTAATAAATCTCATTCACGTATTTTGGCCTTGGAAGAGTTTTCCATGCCATTTGTTGAACAGAAACCCTCTGAAGGCAGGATGCTCACAACTAGCTAGACAGAGGAGCTTTATTACCAAGCTAGTCTTTGGATTGAGACGATTTATACATAATGTGGGATGGATGGAAGCATTTAAGACTTTCCCTATGGCTATTTTTAATGTGCTAAAAATCATAGACAAGCTGAACCACGAGATCAGTTCTGTACCATCACCCATCACAGATCACTTTTATACAATATTTAAATTTTATTACTTCTATGGCACACAGAACAGAAAGATGTAATCAACAGCATTAAAAAGCTGAACAGTCCCATGTCTCTTGAGACTTAATTTTTCTAATCCCCAAGTATAATTACTTTTAGTCCTTCTCAAGTTGATGGGCAGTAATTGGAGACTAATATGGGGTTTTGGTTTAAGATCAGAAAAAAACAACTGTGGGTTGTGATTGTCCTGCAGATACTTTCCTGGTTTTCTGTCTAAAGAAAACTGGAAGAACCATTTGCACAGAACCATTCAGATGGGAAAATTACCTTAAGAGGAGAAACAGAACAGCCATAGGGTGAAAGATTAGTTTACACTGAGCCTGATGAGATGTTGAACACTCAGGACTCCAGTGTAGGTGCTGAGGCACTCCCAAAAGAGCTGGAGATGTCCAAGTTCTGACCAGCAAGAGTCAGGGGACAGTACAGCTGTCCTCACCCATTGGCCTTTCAAAGGAGGAATTGGTAAGCCAGTACCCAAAAGAGTGACTCAGGCACTCCAAATTTGGTGTGGTGGACTCTTTTCACAGCAGTGATCAACACAAGGCTAGATGCAGGTGCCTCATGTTGTGGGGGAAGGTTTCAAAATTTGCAAAAGACAACTTTGTCAACCAGAATCTGTCAGTCCCCCTCACATGAGCTTCCTGTGGCCTGTCAGAGGCTCACACCAAACCTTCCCTGATGTCTTGGGGTCTGCCAGACCTCACCTGGTTTGGGGGCTTTCTCCTGGGATCCAGGTGCACAGGAGGAACCAAACAAGCTTGGCTTAGCTGAGTCAGAGGCTAAGCTTTCTGGATCCCACGTGAGTATTTTAATCATGAAAAGAGTCTTCTGTCCATGGTTCAAGAAAGAAATCAGTAACTCCATAAAGGCAAAAAAAAAAGATGCGTTTTCGCACTGCCAGTCGTTGTACAGAGTTCTGTTGTACAGATCAGGAGTGCACATCAAAATTTTGTGTTGGCTGTGGAGGGGCTCTGTGCTTGCAGAGCACCCACCCTGGGGTGCAAGGCAGGTGTTGCAGACAGGTTGGGCATCCAAACCCACACACACAGGTTTGACACTGGAGGAATCTGACCCAGGACATTTATTTTGCCTTTCCTTCTGGCATAAAGTATCAAGTGCACCTTTTACCTCTCAAGATGTAGAAACATTGCAAATAATTTGTAGGTAAATTTAGCTGTAGGCCCAGATGGTCAGACAGCAATAATGTTTAAATATACAGCCTCAGCTACGGCTGCAGTCCTCTTTCTTGGTTTCAGTCTATTTCTACATCATGGCTGTCTTCCAGAAAGAAAAACATGTCCTTCACTGAGATCCATAAGGCTGTCTAACAATCTGTTTGCATCAGTTTCTCTTGAATCTGTCTGCATCTCCAGTTTCTTGGCGTGTGGTTTTACCTGATACGTGGGTGTTAGCGCTGGGCTCGTTCTCCTCCAGTGAGTATCCCCCACTGAGCTGGGTGCTGGATGCAGCCAGATGTCATCTGCCTCGTGCAGGGCTGGAGGAGCTTCACCATCACTCTTGCTAGGGTCAGTGGTGAGGTGCTGCCCACCGTGGGCTGTGAGCTGCCAGCATCTCCTCAGTGCTGTAGAGAGGACTTCTGCATGCAGTCATGACTAAAAATGTGCACCACAATATGCCCAAAAAGCTCTAAGGAAGATGAAGATCTGGCCTGGTCTGCCCACATCCTAGCAGAGGTGATTTGCAAGCTGTGGATGATGTCTTTGTGGCTGCTCCATGACTCAGGGTGGCCTCTAATTCAGTGCCCTCTGGTTTAGCAATGGCTTGACTTGCCCTGAGAGGAGGAACAGCCCTTGCAACAGGACTCCACTCTGGGTTCACTGCTGTCCTGGGCATTTTTCTTTTCACCATACACATTTTTCTTTGCAGAAGGAGTTGTTCATCTACTGTATGGCTCCATGCAAAGTGTTTCCTGGGCCGTAGAGCACCTCTCTGCTATCAAACCAGCCCAGGGAAACACAGAGGGGGTGTGTGTGCTCAGATCCCTCAGGACTAGTCCAGCACTGGCTAAAGGGACTGAGAGATGTCACACAAGCTTCATCTGGGCCCCAATAACTCGTGATCCTGAAATGTTTGGGGTAAGAAACAGAAGAGTTATGGCTTTACTTTTCAGCTTGGACACAGTTGGTAAGGCTGCAGCAGAAGCCTTGAGGCATGCAGCATCTATTTTTACAGGGCTTGATGCAAAGTTGTTAAAGCTGAGAGGAGTCTCCCCATTGCTTTTAATAGGCTTTGATATGAATTTAAATTACAAAACCACCCATGATTAAAAATAACGAAATCATGGATTTACAAATCATTAAAGTGTTGGAGCTGTGTTCTCCACCAGTTTCTCTTCAGGCATCGATCACAAAGGCCAGGCTCATGTAAGACTCTGACTAATATGCCAGACATAAAATCAGTCCATGGCTCAGAAAACAACAATTTTCCTAAACTTAATCTCATTTCCCTCTATTTCCCTGGCCTTTATTTTTGCATTGCCAATTTTTACTCTTAATATTTTCCTTTTTCTTGGCACACAGGCCCTGGAATCAGTGCCCACCCTGTCTGCCAGCTCCAGTCAAGCCTTCAAATCCTAGTAGGCCAAGCTCCAAAAGGATGTGAAATTAACTTATAAATGGCAATTATTTAAAATCTAATCCTTCCCAAAAGAACTCTCGAGCAATTTTTTCCTCTCTGCGTTCGAGTTATTTCTGACAGTGGCTTTGTGTGAGCCTTTGCAAACTGTTCCCAGTAACAACTTGAGCTGTTTCCACAGCAGAACAAAAATGACAGGAGAGTTCTTCCACCAGTCTTGCTTTCAGCCTCAGTGCCTCCTGTATCTTTGGGTAGTTTGCAGCTGCCTTTATGCCCAGCAGTTTGTCAGGTGTCTCTTACTGCTCCATATCCCACATATTTTTGAAGTTTTTACGTCAAGAGGTTTGTAAAACTGTATTTTCTGCCATATTTTGACTAGCAACACATTTTAACAGTGTTTTTTTCTCATGGAATGGGGGGTGTGTTTAGGCAGCCCATAGCAAGCAGCAGTCCCAATTTCAGCCAGCACAGTTCACTGCTCCTCTGTCTGTCCTCAATCAGAGCTCTCACACGTGGTCATGGTGCTTGCATTGCTGCCCCTGTCCTGCACAGCCCCATGGGAAGGAGCAGCAACCAGTGGTTTGTTTATCTAGTGAGTGGCATCCCTGCCCATGGCAGGGGTTGGAACTCGATGATTTTTAAGGTCCCTTCCAACCCAAACCATTCTATGGTCCAGGCTACCAACACTCCTCATTCCTGACCAAAGAGTCATCCAAATCCCACCTCTGAGTGTTTCACCTCTCTCTGCCAGCAGGCTGGGATGGGACTGGCTACAAGACTCCCAGCCCTCTCCTAACAGACAAGGGGAAAGAACAGGTAAACATTTCCTCAATGGGAAAAGGACAATGAGCTCTGGTGAGAGCCAGAGCTGCATCTCCTTCACCTCTACCAGCTTCCCCCACAGCACCTCTTCCACCCTGACTTCTTTAGAGATCAACTGCCTGGGATTAGACTTTTTTTTTAAGGCTCTATTCCGAGTAACATAGAGTATAAATGGCAACAGTTAGTCTAGAACAAACTTTTCAGGTGTTTGAAGAGCAAGAATACACCAGCCTTTTCCCTGGAGACATGGAGCTTTAAAAGAACTAGCTTGTCAGGTTTTACAATCCTATAGTACTACTCAGCAAGGATGCATATAGCTACAGCCCTTGCCTTACACAGTTCATTTGCTACATTGCATGTAAAGATAGTTCTTTAGACTAACACCCACAGAAGTGCCATGTAAGGTTCAGGATATTATGTGTTTGAAAAGGACCTTGTCAGTCACACTGGATTTTTTTTCCCCTTTCAAAATTTAAACATTGATTTGGATAAAGGCTTGTCAAATTTATTCCTCTAGTGATGCCTTAAAATAGTGGGTTTTCTTGCTTTGAAAAAATAATCAAGACACTAGGAATAGTCAGAAAATTTTCACAAGGATTGAAACCTCCCTCTGTTCATATTCTTGGTAGACAAAGAGAGAAGATCACCTCTGGGTTTTCACTCTGTTCTGGCTGCAGCAGCTGTAAACATTTACTCATTTTTTTCCCCACCACCTCAGGATGAAGATGGAGGAAAGAAAGTGCCCTTATGTGTTTGTACCATTTCTATCAGCAAAACACAGCAGGGATTTGTGTACAGTTCAGGTATTGCTGAAGGACAAGCAGGCAAAGGTGCTGTGAGAATGGTTCTGGGATTAAACATCTCTGTTCCCAGTTGGGCACTTGTCACCATTTCAGACAACCTTGAAGGGAATCTCTGCATCACCACTGGTGTTACAAAATGGAAATCCCTTCAGCAGGTGGATAAGGGATGGGAACAGTTGTCCAGATTTCAGGAAATTAATTACTTATCACCTCTCATTTCCACT